GACTGACAACTCAAAGCCATACAGACCTGCTGTAGTTAAAACAGTATTCTGAGTGGAAACAAACATTTCTAGAAACGATTACATGTTTCCAAGTACATTATTAAAAACAAGCAAGTAAAAAAGTTGCATGTATAAAAGTTCATGTCTGGGCAAGCCCTAAGGTCAAAGTTCTCCACAACCACAGGTTTGTGCACAACACTGACCAACAGAACCACTAGCTGCTGAGTTCCTCTGTTGTTGCTGCCACTCACACACATCTAAGACCGCATTCGATTTCTTCTATCAGGTTTGAATAAGTTTGAGACATTTTCCTTGTTGAAAACTCATGCAAGCTCGGTTGTTATTCTCCCCTTCACTCCAGCCTTTAAAGTGTTTTCCTCCATCTGTTTGTGATCCACTCAGTGGCTTTAACCTCTCTTCCACTCGCTTTTCAAACCACTTTTCCTCTCTTCTTTCGCCGTCTTTAGGCTCTGACTGGTAACGCCTGTGATTGTAGTGCGTGTCCCCTCGGACTAAAGCAGATGCTGCCTTTCGTGTGAGAGGGGAAGCTCATTTAGGCTCTTCACTCGTTTGGGAACAGAGGTGTAATCCTTTGTCTGTGTGCATGTCGTTGTGATCTTTAAAGACATCAAATTCTTTGAAGGAATACATATCGCCTGCTGCCTTCCATGCCAGATATTTAGACTAAGCTCACCTCATGATAAAAAGAATAACAGTAAGCTGCACTGTACAAACCTAAACAATGTACTGTATGTGTTGGGGAAAACTTTCAGCTACTGTAACACAAAATGCAGCTCATCAGTGGTGGGCAGCGCTAATCCAAAAATTAGCTCCGCAATTTCTAAAGCGCTTATGAAAATATTTAGGTCGGCAACCTCAAAATCACTTATGCTGTAGAAAAAATGGCAAAAAAAAACAACAATTTTAAAGTGCAAGTTCAATTTGACACTTATTAGCTGACAATTCATGTACAATATATGTACAACACTGCCAACTAGTGGTGTATGAACTCTTTTACAACTTTATTCTACAACCGCCAATTGCTGGGGATGTGATTTCCTGTAACAGACCTTTAGCTCCTGGTGTAAAAAATAAAATGTTGTTGAGGATTGCTAGTTCAGCTGATTCTTTGTCTTTTTAATTTTGTTTGTTGTAGATTTTTCATTAATGAAGCATCAGTAAAGTAATTTAAAAAATGTTTATTGGAAAACTGAAGCGATGCATTCTGGATACATGATGGATTTGATTTGTGATGGGAAACGGAAGCACGGGGAACAGGAAACTAGTGTCTTCCCTTAAAATAAGAGCTTGGATTATAAAGTTTCTCATGTTTTCATTGGATTTTAAAGTTTTCCGGTTCACCTGAAACTCATCAGACTGAAGAAGTCTCTTGGAGGAGAGACGAAACGTTTCACTGAAGAAGAACCCATCCAGAGGACCTACTGATTTTTTCTTTTTGATTTTTTCTACCTGGATTAGGACGTTTTCCATGTAGTTGCTCCAGTTGACCAGTAGATGTCAGTCTTCACCAGCATAACATCTTTAAATCGTTTCTGAGTCTCTAACACCATTGGCCGATTGCTTTTGAGCTCCAGCATTTAAACTTTTTTTTAAAAGGAGCTCCGATTGTAAAGTAAAATAAATCAATACATACACAATTTTAGTATGGATTACAAATGTTAACTGTTTTTGCTATTGCCTTCCTATTGCTATTGCTATTGTAAGCAGACACAAAGCATTGTGGGAAATGAGAACCBTGYCDSAAAGCAACAGTCAGCAGGATGTATACCTTCACAATAAGTGTGTTTATCTGGGAGGAGTGCTGTTAGATAGATCACATGTTATGATTCATTGACAGTCATACCTTCCGCTGTTCAAGATCATGATGACTGGAAGATAATTATTAGCTGTACTGTATTTTAATTTTAGAAAGCGCAAACCCACTTATGAATTATAAAAATTAGTAAGTCCGCTAAAGCGCAAATGAAATTTTTAGGTCCACAATTAGGGAATTTGCGCTTTAGCGGGCTGGTGCCCACCACTGCAGCTCATTAACTGTAAATTTCCCTAAGTTACAGTTAGTTTGATGGTGGCTATGTTGAAAAATTGCTGCAGAATTTTCATCTAATGATTACTTTCTGAGAGTTTTATTAAAATCTCTCTGGTGTTTATGAGATACTTTGTTGACAGATATTTGATTGCAATAATTATTGGGTAGATTTTAAAGCCACATCTTGTTGAACAATTAGTGCTTGGGAAATGTGTTGGATGACTCTAAGCCACTACAAATGTTAACTCAATATGGGCAATGTTCACTGCTGTAAAGCCATGTTTGCATGATGCTTAGCTGTGGTGGCCATTCTGAATAGGCTTGACCCCAAAAGTTAACTAGATACCACACAGCGGTAACATAATGACCCCCGCACGCACAAATGCACCAGAACTCAGAAGTCTTTATTCCTAATAAATGTCATGCTACTAGATGCAWKKTTGTAGTGCTTTGGATGGGGGTGTTTGTTGGGGGGGGGTGGGCATTGGTTGACCTGATGGATAGCCCCTCATCAGAGCTGAACAACAAAAGGAATCTGAAGCCCCTATCTTTAATAGTTTTTGAGAAATAACCATTTTTGTATGTCCAAATACCCCTTTTTCAGATAAATTGGTGGTCCGGTGGGTGGGGGGCACTGATTGGTGGGCCTGATGTATACAGCTTCATCAGAGCTAAACAACAAAAGAAATCTGAAGCTTCTATGTTGAACAGTTTCTGAGTTATAAGCATTTATGCATGTCCTGACACCCCCACTTTGAAAGGAGCCCCCTCCTCAAATATGGGGTCTATCATAAAACCGTTGGCTGGCGCAGTGTAGGTCAGACTCATCTACAGTCCTGACAAACTTCATGTTGACCGGTGCAACCGTTTTTGTGCTACGGTTGACCAAAAATCACTGAAAAAAATTAATGAATAAAAAATAAACAGTACGAAAAGAAAAAAAATTGTATCGGTCTTCTGGACGGGTTCTTCTCTAATGAAACGTTTCGTCTCTCCTCCAAGAGACTTCTTCAGTCTGAGAGTTCCGTCCAGAAGACCTATACAATTTTTTTCTTTTTGATTTTTTACCTGGATTACTGAGATGCATCAGGACAAACAGTACAAAAACAATGTGACTCCTGCTTAGGCTTCGTGTGCGGGGGTCATAATTAGTTGTTCTGAGAATTTTATTAAAATCTGTCCAGTGGGACCTGAGATATTTTTCGAAAAGACTAACAGGTTGCATTTCAAAAAGACAATGCCAGAACAATGCAAAGTATTGTATTGTGGCAAAACTGTACAGATAAATGAACACAGACACAAAGAAACAGCACCCCCCCCCCCCAAAAAAAAAAGACAGATTAGATACATAAAAAGTTAAGGCATCAAAACATTAGAGTGCAGACAAATTAAATCTATATGGTAGTCATTTTCATTTTTCTGGCATTTTGCTCAGGAGGAGGAAAACGCGTCAGTTTAAACATGTGGCGCCCAAAACAGTAATGTGGAGAGAAAGTGAAAAGATTGAGACTAGAATAAGAATAGCACAGGCTAGTAAAGGATTGCACTCCCCAGCATGTTGACAGTGAGCCTGACAGTTCATTAATCCAGCCAAATCCCTCCAAACTTACTCAAGTGTGGATTCTATTTTCAAATTTCCTATTAGTTCCTCTTTATGGATTAAGCACTGCAGTTCACGAGTGAGTGCCCAGCCCCGGCCCCCGCACCAGCTCCGGCCCAGCTCATATAATTGGCTTGTAATGGATTTGGGGTCGTCTTTGCATCACTGATACGGATAGATCCGAGGCCAAAAACGTCTGCTACCCGGTTTCTTCCTGCGTTCAGTCAATGCTGAGGCTTCTGGTTTTGCATAATTCCTTTTCTTCGTTCCATATTGTCATTTCTGTGTGCGTGTGTGTGTGTGTGTGTGTGTGTGTGTGTGTGTGTGTGTGTGTGTGNGTGTGTGTGTGTGTGTGTGTGTGTGTGTGTGTGTGTGTGTGTGCGGCATCCTTAACTGGAGGACTGTGGCAGAGGAACGTGACATTACTGGAGATGAAACATGTCAGGTGTTATGCAGCGTTCGGGCTCCTGTCACAGTCAGGACCCCTGATTCATATTCTGACGTGTAAAATCTGAATGCAAGGCAACTCTAATCATCACTACAGAAAGCAATGTGAGTAACTAAGTTGTGATGCCAAAAAAACAGGAAGAACATGGCTACACTAATTAGGCAGACATGAAACACAGACTGTACACAAACTGGGAGAACAGAAAAACTAAACATGTGAGGAATTTGTTAGGCCGTGTGGGACTGAAAGTGGAAATAGTTCAAAAAGTTGGGGATAAAATTTCTCATTAAAAATTTGGAAATAATTTATTGAGTTGAGTTTGATTCAGAGGACCAGAACAACACAGATGATATGATTGGACTTTTTTTTTCTATTTGATCAGGGTTGAGTTAACTGAATACATCTAAACATTGATGATAACATTAAAAGCTTGGGTCAAAATGAGATCATGAGCTTGAGCAAAAACAGTTTCACAGTATTTAACAAAAACATAAACTTAGCAGGAAAAGTAAGAACATTTTGACTTTGGTTGATTTGTGTCTCTTTGTTTTAATATTTATTTTTCAGAATACATTTGTATTATTGGAAAGTTTATTTCCGCTTAAATGACGCTAAATTTGAAAGTAAAATGAATTTGTGGAATTTTGACAGTTGCACCCATAAAAAACGTAGCAAGTATTCTCAGCCAATAGCAAACAACTTATCCTCATACGTGTCAATTTGTACAGATTGTCCATAAATGACACAAATTATCCCCCATTTTGCAGGTGAGAAATCTCAATGACTTTTTTCCAAAACTCAGCATCAAAATTATTTTTTCATCTCAAAGCCTGTAGAATACAAAATAGCAAAGCAAAACAAAACACAAAAAACAATAAAAAATGAAATAACCATCTCCCAACCTGCTCTGCTGTTAGAAATGAGCTCGCCACCTCTCCCCGTCCTCCTTTCCCTGCTCCTCTGCGTTGCAGATGACTCCGCCCCATGTTCTGAAAATTACAGAGTTTTGAGGGTCAACATACATTTGTGTGAAGAGTTTGACATGTAGGCTATGTATTCTGCAGCTGCTGACTATTAAATGCCACTAAGTCAATTTATTTTTAAAGCGCATATCAAAACAACCAGACATTATAAAATTAATTATACAGTATAAAAGACAAATGTAAAGTAAGATAAACTTGGAAAATATACTATATAAAAGTTATAAACAGTAAAAACTGTACCAATAAAATAATAAAAACTAGGTTAAATATCAGTGAGAAGCAAAGGTGTGTTTCAAAAAGATTTAAAAACTAGAAGCACTCTGAGAGTGCAAACCTCCGCCAAGACCAATTTCTATGGGGTAAGATAACTGTCAGAATCATTGTATGTGTAAGAGTCTAAATTTGTACATGTAAGTCTATAAACGTACATAAATTTGTTACAACTTTGCCACATTACAAGTACGAATCAAATTTACAAGTACAAATCAAATTTATAAGTACAATTCTTATATGAGAATACAAGTTTTTAAGTTACAAATATGAGTTAAAAAGTTACAACTTTGCCACATTACAAGTACTGTACGAATCAAATTTACAAGTACAATTCTTTTACCTGTCAAAATAACAGACATTATGCATGGAACACCGAAAAGATCGATTGTAAACAGTTACTAAGCCAGACCACTTTGGGGACATGACCATTGCCTCATTTGGGACCAGACAAACTCTTTATAAACACAATTTGCTGAAGGGAAAAGCATTTGGAGGCTTTTCAGTTTGTCATTCATGTCATGTAGTACAACAATAAAGCAGATAGTGGATTTTTGATGAACAACCAAAAAGGAAAATTGATGCATTCATAAAACCGACTGCATAATCGAAAAAATAATGCAAGTTCAAAAACACATAACGGCAGTGCTCTGACCCGGCCAGCAGGGGGAATGAACTCCACCATCAAACCCCTAAACAACTGTAAGTTAAACTTTTTATTTTTACTTTTAATAGTAGTTTGTATTATTTATTTCACATTTGGTACATGTACTACTTGTCAGTATTTGTAAAATGATGTGTTTAAACAGTTTCTTTGCTGAAAGTAGAGCTTTGTTGATTGAAGTTGTAAGCATGGTGTTAGCGTTAGCATGATGATAATAGGAAAGAACAAACAGCCTCATGTTTTCTATTCAGTCAAAGTTTATTTAGAACGGCTTGAAAAGAACAAAAACCTAACTGGTGTTAACTGTGAGTTTAAAAAGCTTTCTCTGACTATTTTGTTTTGTTTATTAAGACCTTGTTGGCTACATTTTTAAAGCTTTGTCAGAACTACACAGACACAGATTTAAATCAGAATCACCATAAATCAAAGTTAAACTGTGTTTAACTAAGTTAATCTATTTTTAACAACTACCAAACTACTTCCTTCAGATTTCAGTGACCAATATGTGTAGAAAAATGTTTGCTGCCTGATTAATGAGACTGCTGGCTGTGACTGTGTGATATTATAAATGTGTTCTTTTTCATTTACTTTTATTCAACATGGACCTGAATCTGTTTGTGGACCCACAGAGGACCTGTCTTCAGACCTTTGAATCAGAGGACTGAGACCACCAGGCTCCATCAGTGAGACTACAACCAGTAGAAGCCAGTTCCACCCACATCAGGTCAAATAGTTGTATTAGCAGTAATATTATAAACTTAATAGAAATAAAGTTAATATAATTCATTAAATAAAGTTAAATAAATCAGTCCTGTTAACCTGTTGATTTTCTGTGACTCAGATAAGTGCAGTTGATGCAGCAGCAGCATTCAGCCCATCCATGGACCCAGGACGATGTCCTCTACATCCACACCTGCATCTGACAGCTGGATGAGGAGGTGATGGAGTTCCTGACCATCTGAAGAACTGAACCAGCAGCAGGATGAGGAGGTGATGGAGTTCCTGACATCTGAAGAACTGAACCAGCAGCAGGATGAGGAGGTGATGGAGTTCCTGACCATCTGAAGAACTGAACCAGCAGCAGGATGAGGAGCTGATGGAGTTCCTGACCATCTGAAGAACTGAACCAGCAGCAGGATGAGGAGACATTGGAACAAAATCTGTTCATCTGGGTTTTAAAGCCTCCATAACAGCTGAAAAATTCAGTTAATGCAAATGTACAGTTTTAAAATGTCCTGTTTAGAGCTGAGGAAGTCAAACACCAGGCCTTGACATATTTTTTAAACTCAGGATGTTTAATCTGTTTATATTAAAACTTAACTAGAAGTTTTCTTTTATTTGACATTGACTGATGGTTTTACTTTAATAAATATTTTTTTTAAATATTCAACACTTTTGTTTTTACCTATGAGCTGTGAGTGATAGATGAAACAATGAATATAGTAAAAAAAATGGGGGAGCAGTAAATTGTTAAAATATTTAATGAAACTTATCACAAATAACACATTTTAACACAAAATATAGTGTACTACTATTATTACTACTACATTGTGACAAATACTTCATTTTTTTTAAAATTATTATTTTTACTGATATTTCTTTTAACGATCACTAAAAGGAAATTAATATTTTCATTGATTCATTTTCATCTCCCTCCTATGGCCTGTCGTGGTGTTTCTGAGTATTTCTGACACCTTAATGCACACATGTATCAGAAAACTCCAGAATTAGTCCAGATGTTCTGCAGAAAGCTCCAGCATCAGTCCTGATGTTCTGCAGAAACCTCCAGCATCAGTCCAGATGTTCTGCAGAAAGCTCCAGCATCAGTCCTGATGTTCTGCAGAAAGCTCCAGCATCAGTCCAGATGTTCTGTAGAAAGCTCCAGCATCAGTCCTGATGTTCTGTAGAAACCTCCAGCATCAGTCCTGATGTTCTGTAGAAACCTCCAGCATCAGTCCAGATGTTCTGTAGAAAGCTCCAGCATCAGTCCAGATGTTCTGCAGAAAGCTCCAGCATCAGTCCTGATGTTCTGCAGAAAGCTCCATCAGTCCTGATGTTCTGTAGAAAGCTCCATCAGTCCTGATGTTCTGTAGAAAGCTCCATCAGTCCTGATGTTCTGTAGAAAGCTCCATCAGTCCTGATGTTCTGTAGAAAGCTCCATCAGTCC